TTACGTACGTACGTTACTACGTACTACTACCTACGTACTCCTACTACTCTACACACACACTACACTACACACACACTCACACACACACACACACACACACACACACACACACACACACACACACACACACACACACACACACACACACACACACACACACACACACACACACACACACACACACACACACACACACACACACACACACACACACACACACCAGAGACACACAAAGGATTATTAAGTGGATTACTTTGGACATAGATACGAGCTATAACGTTTTTATATGACCATATGTTATAGTAATAAATGGCCACCATGCACATTTTTGTTCCTTTTTTATGGCAGCTGCAGAATAAATGGACTTGCGCCCTTCAAAATGCATTAAACACAACACTTTAAAAATCTATTTTAAGATTTGCTTAAACTACTGAACGGCTGTTTTTCTGTTAACATTTGGGGAAATGTTGGACTAGCCGCAGACTTGCGCATTCATCAACGCTCACCAGGACGCCGTTTGGTGTTAACCGGGTTAAGGTCTGGCGTCTGGCGTTTTACATTTCATGGTTGAATCTGAACTCAGCAGCCATGACAAACATCGCACATCCTAACACCTATACTGATAACATTAAGCATAATGGAGTCGAAATATTAAGTATTATGATAATTTCCATGTGTAAGTACGAATTTTAACTGAAGTTCAATTTAGTCTGCACTAAGTTGTAATGTCATGTGACCCTTGTAGCTTGGCGATGACAAAGGGGAGATTTGTTTTCAAATCCTATGACTTTACAGTTTTTATTTTCCTACAGAGCAAGTAATTATCACTCGTAAATTAGGGTTTATTTTGAAATTAGGTCCCTGACTTAACTGTCATTTCTTATTTATGGAACTCAGTGCACTCAGTTTCAGTTAATGTGAACGTAGCGAATTGTAGTTTGTTAGGCAGCTACTGATTTCACTTTTGGAGGTCTCCACATTCATATTTAGCTCCCTCTTCTTAAAGTTTATAATAATTCAATTCCGTTTTTTACTACTACTAATCCATAGTTAAATAAAAACACATCGTAATCTAATGGCAATTACGCACATCATACATCACACATAACAAATAGCCTAAAACACACATACACGTTAAGATCCGTAAGAACGTCAGCATCACAGTTTCTTCAAATGTGCAAATTCACTCTGCACCAAAGTCACCACGTCACACAAATATCATCTTTTTGTATTTATAATGCATGAACTATTTTGTTTTGGACCTCATCCTTAATTCAAATGTGCATTAAACCACAATTAGTCTGATTTGTATCACCTGAGACATTAGTATCAATTATATTGGTCTTTTGTTGCCTTGCCGCTGCAACCCAATAGTTCAGGGATGTGTCACAGACTGACTGACAAGCTACACTATCGCAGGGGAAAACAGTAAATTCCTGCCATTAGATACAACAATAACAATATCCCTGTTATGAAAGCATTAATAGTTAGCCCTTTAACGAACCTTTTTACCTCCTCTGCTCTCTGCAGTCTTCTGTTTTCTGTCTTCGGCCTCTGTTTCATAAGAATTTTTTCACATGCATAACGTGGTGGTGGTTTTATGTTAAGCGAGGAACTCGGAAGCAACCTTATTAACGACACGTTTATGAACAATCAAATGGTCCTCGTTAAAATTTATTGATGGGCATAAAAACATGGACGGTCACTAGCCGAATATAACCCGCTGTAGTGGGCTGCTTGTCAAGAATCCAAATCCCCTCCTCTCCTATCTCCGCAGATCCCATTTAGAACATGGTTGGTTTGTTGCGTCCTCGTTAAAACGGTGCAAACTTAATTGTTGGTTACCCTGCATCCCGTATTATGATTACCACTCCCGTCTGTCGAGTCTATATGTAGCTACTGTGAAGCCTTCTCTCACTATTAAGAAGTAAACAGCGTTCCACCGGAAGTTATAAACCCTTCACTGTATCAAATGTGCTGCTTTGATAAAGATAAAAGGCGCAAACGATTCAATAAACACTTTAATGTTGTAATACTATCCATTGGAATAACACGGGGCTACGGATTTCGCTAGACAGAGATTGATTACATCATCAAATAGTGCCTTGCTCGGGTTTAGACGTAATGTGCGCAGGTCTGTGCTGCGACTGGATAAAGATCCACTATTAGCTCTACAGAGGAACATTTCCTTATAAAGAAGCATGGTTGTTAAAGTTACCTCTAATACGTCCGTGAGAGAGCAAAAGAGCACATTCTTTAATCCGATTTATGTGCATTGGATCCGAGGATAAGTGGCGCATTGATCCACTGTACAATTTTTGTGGGGGTAAATATAATCACGTGTCGGTGAGGCAGCCAATCGCAGCCAGGCAAGCGTTGAGAAATAATTACCTGCCTTGATTGTTCTATGGCTAGATAAAAAAGTACACATACACTCCATATAATAATCGGATGCATGTAAAAGAGTCGGGGAAGCTTCGACATGTCGACCACGGGTCCCATAAGTAATTATTATGTGGACTCCTTGATCAACCATGAAAACGAGGATGTCCTTGCTGCAGCTCGGTTTTCGGCTCCCGGTTCTCACCCAGCCGGCTCTCGCACGACGTCCCTAGTACCGGAGTGTGCCGACTATCCTTCCTGCAGCTTCGCACCCAAGCCTCCCGTCTTCTCCACCTCATGGACCCCTGTACACTCCCAGTCCTCAGTGGTTTACCATCCATACAGTCACCAGCCTCACTTAAGCACAGACTCGAGGTATATGCGGTCATGGCTGGAGCCGATATCAGGCGCCGTGCCTTTCCATGCCTATCCGGGGAACAGCAGGCACTTTGGGCTGAAGCCCGACGCCTTTCAGGAGCACAGAGCCGCGGAGTGTCTTGGCTCCAGCGGGCGTACCTACACGGATTATCTGTACTGCTCATCCACTGACATGCGAGACAAGGCGCTGCAGAGTATCCCTTCTCCCGAGTCGGAGCTCCTGGCTTCAGGGAAACATAAAGAAGAGAAGCCGGAGCTAGATCCGAGTAAGTTCAAGCTCCATACAGTCTTTTACAACCGGGTGGGAGTTTTGGTATGAAAATCTGTCAATCTGCTCTTGACGTGAGGCATTTTAACGGCATGCATAAAGTAAAATTATAATCTGTTTCATCCCCCCTTTTCAGCTCAGCCCAGAGTAACCTCTGCTAGGGGGAAAGCTTTAGGAACTATAAAAGACAAACGCTACTAGGCTAATATTGGGGCTATAAAACCAGACGGGGTTGTAAACATGGACTCAAATCTACAGGAAGACGTTGAATTTGGAAGGCTATTGCATGATGTTAAAAACATACAAGGTGTTATTTTTAAGCGAGCGACATACACCGACATATGAAATAATATTCATCAGTAAATGCTTTATGATGCAGCTTTACGACCATATTTTGACCCAGTGCCATTTCACAAGGCACATGCAAAATGACTTTCAGTCCTTATATTAATGTAGGCCCGTCTTCTAGTGAAAGACACTGTTAGGCTCTATTTTATCCCCAGTAATGATGTGCATTATTCCCCCACATAATAATGATAATAAGATGCTCGACTACATATAGTTGCATATTCTTTCTGGGTCCAAAACTGATTCACATGACTCTTCCAGCCAACTTGAGGAATGTAGGGACATATTGGAGGACTTTCACCACGGACCTGCTGTAAAGGCTTGAACCACGGGCCATTTTATGGGCCAATAAAGTGAATAAGCGCATTGAGTATTTTACGACGGTGTTACTCACAAGTCAAGGGGACAAGGAAGCAAATCAGTGTAAGGTTGGATAGTCTGAAGCTAGAATACTTCCTTAAAATGTTTACTATCAGCTAAGCTACAATGGTAAATATCAAAGCTATGTTTGATTTGACATGATTTGTAATGATTGCACATTGGAATTAGCCCACATGAATGCTGTAAATGCAGAGGCACATTTTTCAAATGCTCAGCATAAAGTGGTGTTCATTAGTCATTGCTTACGTGTTTTTAAATGTCCCACGTTGTTGTTCTGTCTTTGTTATTATTAATATTATATTATGGTTTTAATTGCAGATAACCCTGTGGCAAATTGGATACACGCACGCTCCACGAGGAAGAAGCGATGCCCCTACACAAAGTACCAGACTCTCGAACTGGAAAAGGAGTTTTTGTTCAATATGTACCTTACTAGAGACCGCCGTTTTGAGGTCGCTAGGGTCCTGAATCTGACCGAAAGGCAGGTCAAAATCTGGTTTCAGAACCGGCGAATGAAGATGAAGAAAATGAACAAAGAAAGGAACGACAGAAAAGAACAATAATGTGGACTGCAATCACAAAACAACAATAATAACCACTAGTCACATGGACAGCACAGATTTACCAAATCAACCTTCAATCTCTTCATATTTATCACTTGGTTGGATTGTTTTATTAACCTTAATCTTCGAAACTGTTTGATGCTGATTATGTTATTTTCCAGTCCACCGTATAAGAAAAACTAAAAAAAAAACTTCTGAAGAGATAATTACATTCTGCTTTCACTTCGAAATACCTTTGTGTTTTTTGTAAGAGAAATTAGTGCAGTTTAGACACGTTACAACTGTCTGAAGAAAGAGAATACTTGAATTCTTTTGAATTTCACAAATCCATAATTTATGATGTAAATGTTTTTCTCTCATGTTTATTTCCTTTGTACTTTGTTGTGCAGGTGTAGTATTTTGTACAGACACAGAGCATCTGGACCGGACTTGTTTGTCTTGTATTTTGTGATAGTTGTTGTATTTGTGCATCTCTTTTTTTTATTGTAGCTAATGAGTTTAACTATAGAGTGTAGATACAGACCTCTGCAAATATAAACTTAATCACTAAATTGTTGTATGCTGTGTTCATTGTGACTTAATGATATCGTGCATGTAAACGCATTTTGGTTAGGCCTAGATAAAGGGCCTTTTTAAGAACAAACCGAATCTCATTCAATATCAGTTTAAATGTTTTCCTGATTAAAAAACCGCAGAAAATCTAATTACCAAATCACTATTTGGTTAAGCAAGATATTGCAAACAGAGAGTATGATAAATAAGTATGGCATCGCAATTATTCATCTAACATGTTTTGCCCGACGATCATTGCTCCAAATACAGCTAAGAGATCTGCCACCGAAAATAATGGCGAGGTCTAACATATATGTAGTCAGCGAGGCTTTAGAAAGGCTACACTGTCTTAATTTAGCTTTAAACTGGGGCTTAATTATCCTTATGTAATCCCCGGCCACGTACATTTAAAGTTGAACATACATTTAGGTAAAAGTGCACTCACTACGAAATAAAGGCACAAATAGCCGTGTTTGGTCTTTTAATGGGAAAACGAGTTAAAAGTTAATTTCTGCTGTTTTGTGTAAGTTTTTCAGACACAATTAATCTGCAGCCATAACAACTATAGTTTACTTCAATCGTACACAACACCTTCTGTTAGCCAAAGAGAATAACACAATTGCATCAGGCATACGATTTGTTTTATTGCTCCATTCCATATATGCCTTTGTGTTTAAAGCTGTTTGTGCGTTAGTCCCATTTCAGAGAACGCGTTGGTATATAATAAGTATATTTCTTCATAAATAACCTTCTCGATAATATTTTTAGATTTATAGTTGTATCCTTTCGCCAGGCCCACATGGCGGTCTCAAAATCTGGGTCTAAATTTGAACATTTGAGTGTCGAAGTGAGAGACAATTTCCCAAGTCTCCCATTTGTTTCCTGGGATAGTCCTAAATTGCCTTTTTGTGGTGGCAAACAATACGGACAGGATGCTGTAATTTCAAAGCCTAATCCAGTGCATTTCCGCTCTGCTCGGACAAAAATGCCAGTTTTACAGCCCCTGTTGGAGCTCGGCTGTTAGTCTCAAATGCAGACGAACAAAGCAAACTCGACTAACTGGCTAGACGTCTGGGCTAAATTACTTTATGGTTTTAATGGACGTTGGTGGTGGACTCCTTCAAAGGAGAGTCATGCGCACCGTTCAGGGGACTTTTGCCTGATGGGCCTGCCTCAACCCCCCCGCACTTCATCACATGAGTGGTCTATTAGCCTACAATTAGATGAGGAAACGTCGATAGTTATTGTGCATAAATATGAGTGCTGCAGAGCACTGCTATCTCTCTTATAGAAGAGCAGCCATGATACGAACAAAAAACAAAAAACAACGAATTCAATACTGCTGTAAAACAGACTGAAGGCACTTGGTTACAGATCGGGTTAACTGCTTCTTTAACTCTACCATATTTAAGGAAAACAACGAGATATATACAAGGTTTGGATACATGGGGAGACCCTTTAGGTCCACATCGCAGTAGTTTCTGATTGGTGGATTCATTCAGGTTTAAGCCCACATCTGAACACTAGATGACGCTGTTGGTCCATGTTTTGAGCAGGATCTGTGTGTTGAAGGGCTTCTTTACAGCTCTTTGGCTTGGCTGAAAAATGAAGAGTAACCTATCGATGACAAAATGACAGATATGGTCCCTCACCGCATTATGTGTAATAGGCCACAAAGCAGTACTCCAAATACAGCTAGCTGGTTGTTGTGTTGCGCACAGAGTTTTTGCATAAACATGATTTGTATTTTCTACTTATTTCACATTTTTTTTAATTTTCCTTTGTCTTGTGAGCTACATTTTTATTGTGTTCCCTTTTTTAGACTTTGAAACGTCTTTAATGTCCTTAAATTCATAAGTTACTGGAAATGTGAAGTGTAGTCGTTCTTGTAAGAATTTCGTTCCCATTAAAATAGGAACAATTTTCTCAGACATGTTTTAGTTTGGACAAAAGTCAATAATATCTGCATTTAGTAGGGGTATTAGTAATTTGGCATGATGCGTTTGTATCCTGTGTCTTTATTTGTTTTTCAATTTTGTATTTTATTTGGATAAATAACAAAGGATTTAATGGTCATGAAATTCATTAAAATACTTTTAGTGGGGAAAAAATAAATACATAATTGACATAATAACATCATAACATATTAAATGAAAAGCCAGAATTTTTTTTTTAAATATATAAAGACTTTAATGAAAATTGCATCAGTTACATCAATACCAAATAATCAAAACTTAGAGAAGTCACAATAGCATAAACAGCAAAATGAAATACAACAATTATATAATACACTGACATGTTAAACATAATAATACTTAATAATAAGAATATGTACAATAATAAATATCATAATACCAAAAATAATAACAACAATTCAAGTGCCTTCTGCATTGCTTGTTAAACACAAAAACACATCTAACTGCTTATTTTGCATATCCTAATATGTGTTGGTTGTGACGTGTGTAGCTCAAAGTCCCCAAGAAGTATGCAACAATGATTGGCAATCTGCATATTTATAGAGTGTGAAAGGTCTATAAATTCACCCAGTGCGCCTTCATATTTTACGATGATGTGTATAAAACGTCAGTAACCCCACAAAAACCACACTGGCATATTTGGAGAGAGAGCCCATACAACTATTGAGCTGGGAATTGTGCGGGTGCTCATTGTAGCTAAACATCCGATGTAAAATTTTATGAACTCCTCCACGTGGGAGATTTACTGCGTATCCTCGTCGGTTTTTACGGGGTCAGTAAGTGGCACCTAGTATTCACAGGTCGTGTTTATATTTGCGTGTGTCGGTGTTTTACAGCGCATGGTGCAAGTGTGTCGCCCTATAGCCTTTACTCGATTACACGAGGAGGATGTGTTGGTTTTATTCTCATACATTATTTACTATTGTGTGATGGCTTGAATTGCATCTTGCTTTATATGTGTAGTTTTTAATGCAACATTTTGGGTTTCAAGAACATGAAATGCTATGTTGACCCCCTAGTGCCCATACAATCTAAACTAGTTTCTGGAAATTAGTGTAAAACATCATTAGGACCTGACATGACAAACAGCAACTCATAACAGCTTTATCCGTTTTTAAAGAGGGGACCTTCCTTGCTTTAAACACATCATAGCCTCCATGGTTATGACAAGACAACTAGCTCAAGTCAGACTGTAGTGAAATGTTCTACCATGTGTCTCTTCATATCTTAACCACTCCATAACTCCATTGATCATCTTACAACAAAGCATTTTTTGTGATAAACATATCATTGATCATATTTAAAGCCTATTGGGTTGTTGCTTATGATTAGTGCAGCTCCTCTCAAGGTGGATACACGTAGGGCCCACGTCTGACCGGTCGTATGAAGATGAAGGGGTGGGGGTGGAGGAGGGTGGGGNGTGGGGGGCGCTTGTGGTGGGGGTGGTTCGGTGGGAAGCTAAAAAAAGGAAAAAGAAAGAAAAGAGCAGCGGCTGTGACTGTGCCGCTTTGAGCAAGCCAGCTTTAACCCAAGCTAACGCACATCTAAAGCACATGCCATGAGCCGGGTTTGAGCCTGCAAACCTGAAAAAAACACTCACGACTGCGAGCGAAATCCGATGAGAGGAACGGCTCAGAGAGAGTGAGCTGCCGTAGATTGTCCAAAGGGGCAGCGTTTCTCCTAGTTCCGGTTTGTCTGCCTGTGCGCGCTGTGCGAGTTGGGACCCTAAACAAAAGGCTGCCATCATCCTAAAGGAGATATTCTACTGCGAGAGAGCCCGTCTGCTTGATGCTAACTAAACATGAGCTCCTATTTTGTTAACCCTCTTTTTTCTAAGTACAAAGGCGGCGAGTCACTGGAGCCAACTTACTACGACTGCAGGTTTCCACAAAGCGTTGCCCGCAGCCACACGCTGGTTTACGGACCCGGAGCAGCCGCACCGGGCTTTCAGCACCCGTCCCATCATGTGCAGGACTTTTTCCACCACGGGACCACCGGGATCTCCAACCCCGGATACCAGCAGAACCCGTGCGCTTTGGCTTGCCACGGAGACGCAACGAAATTTTATGGATATGAAGCCCTTCCGAGGCAAACGCTTTATGGTACCCAGCAAGACGCAAGCCTAGCGCAATACCCAGACTGTAAATCGTCGAGCAGCTCTAACCCCGGAGAAGGACAAGGCCACTTAAATCAAAACACCTCTCCCACTCTTATGTTTCCTTGGATGAGACCCCACGGTCAGAATCATACAATTATTTCCTATTCTTTCTGTGTTACTGTGTGTGCGCGGGCGCGTGTGTGTGTGAGCGTCAGTCTGTGTGTGTGTCTGTAAGTATGTGTGCACGTGTTCTAAATATGCCTAAGTATACAGTCAGTGTATCTCTTAACTATAAAACGAAATAAGTCAGGGAACATGATGGGGCACATACAACCTGTACTGCAGGCTGCTGTTACTCTGCAGCACATGTCCATACAGGGCTGAATTTTTGCTTTCAAAAGTGCCTTTAAACACTGAATTGCTGATCACAGCTCATAACACAGGCTC